GACCTCTGCCGGTTCTTAAACAAGTCAGATGATGCAGGCCTGACTTGTGACAACCTCGATTGGCATATGATTGCAGTATCAGAGGTACCAGCTGACTTTAATACCTCTGGCTGCATTGTTGTGTTCACAAAGCGCATTAAGATGGCAGAAAGGTGCTTTAATCACACCCATAAGTGTTTTGTGAAAGCCATTCTGCACAGTATTACGCCGGACAGTAGGATTTCATTTGTAACTACATATAATTTAAGCTGCCATTTGGAGACAGTACCTCAGTCGGCACTCATATTTGGCAGCTACAATATGAAATTAAAGAGATAACATTTGCAGAGATCTTGTTTGTGTAAGAAATCCATTTTTGAGATGCTGTTGCTTTAAGGTTCTGAGAGAAATATGTCTTTAGTGACAAATTGTGTGGGAGAGGCCAGGAGCCAGGAGAACAATGAATATATGGGATGTATATCACGACTGTTTCCATCTGCCAGACTATCAAAGTTCATTTGTTCAAAACAATTAATTAAATTCATGGTTCCATAAATCACACGTGGAACTTCTCCTATAATCATTGCTGTGCCCAAATCCTTGCCAGCATTTGATGAATGAGGCTCAGTGTGAATTTGTTTCAGAGTTAAAATAAATAAATAAATCTAACATCTAAACCTTAATCTTGATTCAGGACACTCTACAAATTACTTTCCCAGAGTCAATTACACTGACCTCGACACTGATAAATGACGCCCCAGTGATTTTCCGCTATACAACCTCAATTAAAGTGAAGTGAAACTTTATCTTTGCTCCTAACCAAGCATCTTTAATAACAACCAGGTTGCACGTGTTGAGTGCATTCATCGATAACACGCTTTTGGGGTTCCAGAGAAATGAGGACATTAAGGCGGAGGATGCATAAAGCTAAAATTGTTCGTGGTTCCTAGCAACCATCACCACTAACCAATTAAGAGTGGGACTCCCTTCTCTGCTTAAGATGTATGGAAATGACAAATGACTGGAGAAATAATAATAAAAAAAAAAATAAGATAGATAAAACCAGAACACTACACATTTTGTTCTCCAGGTAAACCATATTTCATGCACTCCATCGAAGACAATCTATTTTATGTGTGGCAGTATTTTAATCCACAACATAAGAGCTAAAGGAAAAAGACTTCTGATGCCTGAGCAAAAGGACTTTAGTATCGTTTCCATCCGGTCGCTCAAAGATGCTCCGTTTGTCATAGCTACAAATGATGAATGCCAGTGTAACGTTACTAATGTTGATCTGAATGATACAATCCCATGAAAGCATCCTCAGTTTAACAGACTGCTGGATATTTTGGCAAATGAGGCGGTGTACTACGAAAAGAGGAAAGAAAGGGCTGATTTTTTTGTTTTTAAGTACTGTATCCAAGTCTTCCATCATGGGCAGATTGCGGATTAGCTTGAAGTTGGCAGAGGGACTTCCTCTCTGTTATTACATCACCAAATAAATAAGGCAGAAAGGCTGAGAGGAAAAGATTTCCACCAGGAAGGGAGTATTATTGTCCAGCTGCTGCAGAGGAAATCAACCTTTACCCTCCCTTCTATTTTACCTCTGCCTGATATCTCTACTGCTCTCTTTAGCTTTCTCTTCCCACTGCTGCTTTCGTTATTATCACACCGACTCAAGTTTTGATTGTTTTCCTTCACAAATAAAGGACTGCCTGTCCTTTTTTTTGTAATTTACACTGTGTGAGCAAACTTACCAGGCCAATAACATATTTTTTGTCTTTTTGTCATTTGTCAAGTACTTATGTTATGTACAACGGTTCCAAAGTTTTATAAGAACCAAATAAAAACTCACTGAATCCTTGCCTTCAGGTTAGCTACTGTGCAGATTACACCGTCTTCTTTATTGCAACAAAACTAAAATGAAATGCAGAAGCAATGTGTGAAAGACTTGGGTCTGCTTGTCGAATAACCTTTAGCAGCAGCAACGACTTTAATAATAACCAAGTCTCACCACTGTGAATTCTCACCTCCTCTCAACAAACAATTGATGTCTACAGTCATAATTTTATGCACGCCTTTGTCACAGTCAGACAGCCTCGCATTTGATGCGAGAATGTTTTGGTGAAAAAAAAAAGGGGTCATGATTGGCAGGAAGTGCAAGTGTTCTGCGGGTGCAATTGCACCACCACCACTGCGGCTGTGCATAACGGCTGGTATGAGGTGCTTTTGTTCATACACTTTGGTTTTCACCAGATTGTGGAATTATACAGTGGACTCTCGATTATCTGCAGCTTAGTATTTGATTTTTCTGTTGAAGGCAACTTCTAAATATTTAGTTGAAATTTTATCAATCTGCAGATTTTTTTTCTTTTTTATCTACAGCATATGCCAAAAATTCCAAAGAAAATGTATCTTGGAAAATGCAATGCTACTTAGCATGCTATAAACTCGTGTTTGCAAAGCAGCCAATCCTGCAGTGCTATGTTATTATTTAATGTTACTGATTGGCTGTACACCCAATAGCAGAAATAAGGAAAACTGTAAATGTTAGTTTCTTTGGTAGCGCTAACACAGTTTCTACTCTGCATATTGTGAATATGTGTTTGAACTGCTTTAATAGGCAGTAATATTTATAAATATTAGTGAGATCTCTATACCACCCATAATGCATTTTTGCATCAAACTATGAAACCATTCATACTTTATACAGACCTATTGCCTGCTTTGTATTTTGCTTATAGATCGACAGTTCAGTCTTGTTTGTTCAAACAACTTTTAATTTCCACAAAAAAAAAAAAAAAGGTTGTTCAGATGTACTTTTGCTGATGTAAGCCATGATGCCAACTTTCCTATTTCAGTAACAAATGTTGTATGAGCAATATAAATAAACAATTTGGTTACATCAAGGTTATAAAAAGGTATAGTTTTAAAACCTGTAATATTTTTCACCATTAATCTCCAATGATCTAAAGTCCCTTTAATGAGAGGCCAGAGGAAGTGCTGGAATGATTGTTCTTTTCTGCAGCAAACTGAAGCATTGAATAGCCCCTCCCCCACCTGTTGATGCACACTGCAGGTCAATTAGCTGAAAACTACTATAGATTTCTTCCAGGTTTTGACATCAGGGTGCATTTCCATTGAAAATAGACATATGGTGCAGATTACTGTAACAGCAGACCCCATATTTTCTGTTATAACTTAAATTAAAAACTATTAGATGAAATTGTAGATTATTATATAAACATTTAATGCTATTTTTGCTGTGGGTTATCATACCATGAGAATGATACTGGCCTATTCACAGTCGGATCTAGCTGAGAGTTTGACACAGTCTCTCTCTTTTTTCTTTTTTTTTTTTTTAAACACCAAGCGAATGAAGAAACACGACCATGAGAAATGGGAAGTGTCAGCCTAAACTAGTGCTGAATGTAAGGCATAAGAAGTCGAGTCACCGTGGAGACATGTTTCCCCATGAGCCACTTACTGTTACTTCAACTATTGCCTCGACTTCTGCTGGGTTTACATCACATCTCTTCCCACAGTCCTGCTTCATCTTCAACTTTCTCCAAGTCTAATGAAATTCAGCTCTCTTCAAGTGCGTGCATAAATAATCCCAACACCATCACCCCCGTGGAGCCAGCTAAATAATGCATTCCATTCTTCTTGTGCACGTTGCATGCAGTAACATACCAACAAACAAAAAAAGCAGGAAAAGCTCAGCAGCACATCACAATGTTTTCAGTGAAAACAGTGCTTTAAAAGGAAAGAAAATGTCAAGATAAACACAAAAAGGAAATATTTGCACTATTTAAAAAATGCACTTTTAAATGACAAAACGAATGAAGGCGGTCTCACAAAGCGCTAACTGCTGTTAGCACATGACTTTGCCTGGTGAGCCGAGAGTAAAAAGGTATTCTACGAAGATATGATGGTGAGGGCTTTAAGTTTCACACCATGTATCCATGTTTAGTTCTCTTATTTTGAAGGTAGAAGGAAGTAGTTCTCAAGTTGTGTTAAGTAAAAACTTCAGCTCAGTCTGGATAACAATACTCAGTAAAGTGCCAACCACTCCGACTGATTATATTACATTTAAATTATATAATGTGGTGAAACAAAAATTTTGTACCCAAAATAATTAACAGGTATTATTGATAAAGTGACTAAAGTAACTAAAGATTTATTTTTATGAATTTGGACTGCCTTTGATCATCTGTAGTTCAGAATCTAAAATACTAAGATTTTTTCTGAGAAGAAAAAATCTATTTGCAAAAACACATTTTCGATGTTTTTAATCACATCATAACCACCTTAGAATTAAATTAGCATAAAAATCACACTACGTAGTTTTGTCAAACATGGACTGGATTATCTTATCAAATCCAGATTCTTTAAAACACAGTTTGTGATTTCTGAAATATTATAGAAACAAACTAAGAGAGGGGTGGGTGTTGGTTTCTAAGAAATGTAGCTAAAATCTCATCTCCTTACTGTGAATACAACATTGTATCTCATCGTATCTCCTGAGCTGGAGGCCGCTTGCATGGAAAGAAGACCTAAGGAAACTTTTGATGTTTACCCAACTCAAAGGCTGTTGCTTTGATCTGAACACCCAAAAACCACCAGCATATGAAAAAGTCTCAGCTTAGTATTTTTGAACATCTATGTTGTATTTATCTGCCTTCATTTCCTCTTCTAAGACGCAAAAAAACCAAAATGGCCATACTGACTGGGCTTTCTGTTTTTTTTTTCTCTTTTTTTTAAGTTATGTTCTAGGAAACCTATGCTCTCTAAAAACTGTGCCTTCGCTTTGTCTAAGCGATAGACTGAAAAGCGGTCAAGTTGGACATCTAAATTTCGAAAGGATGAGCATCTAGCTGAAAACACCTACATGTTAAACAGAGCAGCAAGCTTATAGAAATATTTAAAACTTCACAACTAAACAAAAGCATTAAAAAATACCAACAGTAGGCAATCTTTCTAAAGTGATGGAGAAAACTGGAGCCTCCTGAAGCTCTTACCTGAGTGCTGAGGGTTGCAAGTCTGGTGGAACGACGCCTCTCTGTCTCGGTGGATCTGCAGAAACAGGAAGACACTGAATCAGCCTCATCATCATGTGACCGTCACCCACAAAGAAATAATGATGCAGAACGATATTGTCTGCTAAAGAGAGCGCAACTACTGTGTGTCCAGAACGAGAGGTGAACGTAAACGACTCGGGTGTTCGTGGGACTTCGTGGGACTCTGTGGTTCCTCTCGGGGGGCTGGGGTCTTCGTCTGGCCCACAGAGGAAGTTACTTGAAAAAGTTCCAACTTTTTTCTCCGCTCAAAACACGCCGCTGCTCAGATATGCACGAGCGGCCTGTTTGAGATGTGCGGTAACAATGCTGTTGCTCTGCTTCCTTTGTGGGATTAATGTCTACACAACAGCTGCGGTGGTGTGTGTGTGTTACGGAGAGAAAGAGAGACAGCAGGTCACCACAGCTAACTCAAAAGCTAGCCGGCCTCAGAGAAGCTTCCTAACGTTTAATGAACGCCGTCCATGGAAGGGAAATAAAACTGCTCCCACTTTGAGCTGCTTCCTACTATAAATATCACCAAATCACTTTTTTTTTTTTTTTCATTTCAATCCACTTTGCCACTGGTTGTTGAGCTGACAACTACACAACAAAAGCATGACCTGTTAATCTGATATCTGCGAACAGAGACGCTTTTATTATTATTTTTTGTCTTTGTTACTGCTTTTCTCTTTGCTCTGTTCCAGTCTTTTAGCTCGTTTCCTCCCCTCCTTAATTCACCCCATTTAGCTTCCACCCCCGGTAAGCTCACGCTAAGTCTGGCTCAGATCAGCAAGCTTTAGCGTTAGTCTTTAAACTTGCCCGTACAGAAACAGAGCCTTGAGTTGGGAATAAACAGCTTTACGATCTGAAGGCCACGTCCTGTTTTCATCTGGGAAAACAAAAGGTGTTGGTCCAACACAAGTCAGATCGAATTTCACTCACTGACTGTTGGCACGCCAAGAACTTTAATGGACTCTGGAGCGTTTATTCAGAGCCGGTCCAAGATTTTATGGGGCCCAAAGAAGAGATGAATTTGGGGACCCTCTTCCTCTCTCTGAATCTATTCACTTGACGTAACTGCCTGCTGTTTGGCTGTCACATTTTTGACACAGCCAGGTCTCCAGAGTCTGTGACAGAGTATTTGGGCCAGGCTAAGATGTTTTTTTTGTTTTGTTTTTTTTTGTTTTTTAATTATGAGAATAAAGTCATAATATTCAAAGAATATGATAAACAATGATAAAGTTGAAATAATACGAGAAAAAAGTTGTAATAATGCAAGATGTAGTTAGAATATGAGGACAAAGTCAAAATAATGCAAGAATAGTATATGGGAATAAAGTTGTGAAAAAAGTCATATTACAAAATAAAGTTAGAAAAATATGAGAATAAAGTTGGAATGATATGAGAAAAGTTATTGAAAAATGAAAATAAAGTCATAATGTTGCAAGAATTTAGTCATACGACAATAAGGTTGAAATATTACAAGAAAAAAGTTGTAATAATCAGAGAATAAAGTCAATATAATATCAGAACAAAGTTGCGATAAAACGAGAACAAAATCATGTCATAAGAAAGGATAAAGCTGTAATAATGTGAGAACAAAGTCATATTACCAAAATAAAGTCGTAATATTAGCACAATTAAGTAGTAATTTTCTGAGAATTCCAACACAAAAAATAATAATAAAAAAATCTTCTTGTTATGCTTTCATATCAGTCACACAAATAAGAAACTACTTATTTCAATGCATCAGCATCAAATTATCATCAGTTTCGAAACGATTGAGCCAACGACTTCGTCCATGTCGAATAATGAGCCTGTAAAATTTAGTCTTTAATCTGCTAATGTTATGACTGCATTCTTGTAAAACTACGACTCTATTCTCATAACTAAAAAACAAAACGATGTTTCGTCTGGAACCAGTACTCCATCATGAGTCCTTGTGCACAAAGTGTAGAAAAAATAGTCAGAAAAAAATGCAACTGCAAAAAAAAAAAAAAAAAAAGAAAAAAGAAAATAAAGAGCATCTGTAAAAATGCGAGCCACAGATGGAATAGTCCGGAGGCACTTAGAAGATTTATTCACCAATTTCCACTCTGAGACAAAATAAAGTATATTTTTATTGATTGTGACATGTTCCTATTAAGTTGGAGGGTTTCTATATTTCAAGCTCAGAATATCTATGAGGAGATTATTTTGGAGTAGAAGAAATATTTATGCACAGACAAGATATTTTAGACTTGTGGATCATACAGACTGACGTCTTACTTAAGGTTAATATGTTCCTAGCAAATACTCTGAGTAAAGAAAAGCCCTCAAGTCAAAAGCAACGACATTGAGAGATCTCACCTCTGGACAAATATATTAAAGACCAGGGTGAAGCTTTTACAGCCTGTTTTATGATGTATGAATTAAACATTGGACTGTAGATGATGGACTAGCATGTGTGTGCGTGTAAACATGCACAATTCTGATGCAGAAAATTGAGGGTCAAAGAGGCAAAGATGGATTTAAGTTGAGATAGCCTCAATAGTAAAAGAGGCTGGGAGCGCCTAGTGAAGCACATTTATCTGATTGATTGATTAATCAAGAGTTTTTCTGACAGTTGGGAAAAAAAGGAATTGAAATATTTGCATCTTTTCACACGTTTCTAATATTGTATAAAGGAGGATTATAAGTGGTTCAATGAAAAATCTGCCAGAATTGCCAGTTTTTTTTTTATACCTGATTAATAATCAGATCAAAAGATTAACCGATTTCTAAAATAACAGTTACCAAATATGTACCTGGTGAACTATGTACTTATTTACACCATTCGTCTTTGCAAACTTATTTCTGTACAGCTGCAGTTTTTAAAAGCAGTTGGTGATGGCATGGATACATGTAGAGTCTTACTTTTTTTATTTTTTTCACGTTCGACAGTTTTTATGTTTTACAAGGTTTGCCACGGATTTCCCATGGATTTTCATCAGATATTGCAAAAAAACATATAAATAACCAAGACCGGATGAGAGACTCGGCACTACCAGGAAGGTCAACTCCAGTGGGGGTTTAAGAAACTAACCCTCTGCTCTCCCAGCGCACGCTATCGACTAGCCCACTGACCCATAGAAACACTGAGCTCTGTTGTCCAGGCCTGGGAGGAGAGAGCTAGAGCCTTTACACTTTAGCTTCCCTGCAAACACACACACATGCATAAAACACTGCTACCTTAAACCTGTTCAGCAGAGCCACATGATAAAAGCTTGCTTGTGTTGCCTTGGCTCCTTCATCAAGTCTCACATGCACACAACAAATCCCACACACTTAGATGCAGATTCTTTTTTTTTGTTTTTTTTTCCCCCCTTTCCCTCGCAGCTGTGTTCAGATATCAAACAGGGCCTGCTGAGGGAGAACAAACACGCTGACGAGGAAAGATTAGCTGGTCACAGAGGGCTTCGGTACAAACACACAAACGTGAAAGATGTACTGCAAATGCTTGCGCAGGTTCCGGTTGCTGCTTGCTACAAAAGGGGCCAGTGTGGATTAACCTCATCAGGGAAAGTGGAACTGGAATGTTAGAAACACACTCAAATGAGGTATGGGAGCTAAAATAAGATACGTTTACAGAAAGAACAGAATCGGAAGATTTTTGGCGCTGAATGAACTGGAATGAAATGTACACCTGTGAATGGGTCGGAGCGCGGAGAAACCAAAAACTGATGCCTCTTTATTTTGGCTGAGTTGACGGAATAAAAATGTATGGCTACTATTAAAGGACACAGCTGAGAAGGCAGTTAATAAAACCCCTCGGATTTCACGTCATTAACTTCTTGATTCTTTTCCTTTGATTTCAACTTCTTGAATAAAACGGCTTCAACATAGCTAACTATCACAAACAGGGTTTCTGCAGGTCTCACCAACTCAAAATTAAGACTTTAAAACGTTTTTAACACCATTATGTATGAAACAACAACAATGCACAAAACAAAACTGCACACAGATACATGTATATCTATATATGGAAATCCATATAAAACTATTGAAGAAAAATTGTTATTTGTGAGATTAACTATAGGTCAATATTGTTTAATGTAAACATGCCAATTTTTTTCAAACATGCTTTTCGATAAAAAGTTTTTGTGCAAGGATGAGGTGATTTTTTTGGGGGGCTGTAATGAAATGTAATTAACATGCAGATGTTACTACTGGCGAAAAAGAGGAAGACGGCGACACGAATAGGAGAATGTAGGCAGGGCATGTGTTTTAATAATTTATTTCATGATGAACAAACTTATTCAAGCATGAATGATTAATCACAACATAATATAAACAAGAAAAAATTTAAGACCCGTGAGTTTTAAATGTATTAAATTCAATTTCTGAATCCATTTAAGACATTTTAAGGCTTCATTTCAGATGCATGAATTTAAGAGTTTTTAAGGATGCATGGAGACGCTGATGAAGAAAAGCGGAAATAACGCAGGATTATTTTCAGGACGTTGTGATCAATAGAGTCTCGAAGCGTCGGCCAGTGAGGCCTGCAAAACAACGAGTCAGTCAGTGATGGAGCCGATCACCCCGACTGCAGGCTGCCAGCCCGTACTCTGAGTCTTGTGCATATTTGTAGTGTCGGGGGAATCTAAACTGCACCCAGTAAAAACACATCTGGTTTAAAAATAAAAGACAGGCTGCTGAGTGAGTGTGTGTCTGCGTGTGTGTGTGTGTGTGTGGCAGAGCATGGAGAAGTTGGACTGCTGCCTTGTTTTCAAACAGGCGTGCAGCCAGAGAGGTTGTGCAGCACTGAAGGATGCCATGGCAGACAGCATGGCTGTTCCCAAGCCAGGCGTGTTTACGCGGCACGCTTTGATATGCGACGCTGGCGAGCAGCCGGCCTCGAGATGCAGTTATTCTCAGGTGAACCTGGGAAATGCACTTTCTGCACAGACTGACTTTTTTTCCCCCTGAAATCATAAACAATAATAATTAGCATTACTCTATGAAAATCCCCCTCCTCTAAGTTGAAGTGATATGAAA